TCATGACCTGAGCTGAAGTCGGACGCTTAACCGAATGAGCCACCGGGCGCCTCTCTCCCCCGCCTTGAAAGTATGCACCTAATTCAGCATTTCTCAGTCCATTCAAAGTTGTGCAACCATCTGCCACTATCTAATTTGAGAGCATTTTCATCATCCCAGAAAGCAACCCGATAAGCATTTAAAAATGTCTAGATCCCCCTCCCCCAGCCCCTGGCAACCCCTAATCCACTTTCTGTCTCCAGGGATTTGCCTTTTCTATGGAATCATGCAACAGGTGATCTTTGGTGTCTTTCACTCAGCCTGTTCCAGTGTAAAATCCATATTAGATCCCTTTTGGTGGGATCTATTCCAACCTCTGGAGTGGCTGACCCCTAGCTCCCCAAATCACGAACATGTGGGTGGGGGAACAGTGACAGTATGAATCCCTTCTAACGAGACACGGGCAGGTTCTTCCAAAAGCAAATTGCCTTTAAAATGCGTGATAAAAGCAAAAAAAAAAAAAAAAAAATCAGGCCAACATAGTATTATTAGAGATATTTTATACGACCCTGGAAGGCTTTCCCATTATGTAAAAATATATACACATCTAGCCCCAAGATGATCGCCTTACAGACACCAGAGGAAGAAGGTCAAAGCTACCGTCTTGCAAGAAAAACCCACAGCTGCCTCTCTTTCAGCCAGGTCGGGTGTGGAAAATGCTCCCTGGATTTGTAGCAACCGCTCACTCCTATTCTGAATCTGAGTTCTATAGAGCGAGGCCCCCTGTGTTCATCTAAACAGTTGTTGCTCTGGAGAAAATGGCGGGGTCCTGCAGAGAAGGGCTCAAAAGGAAACTCTCAGCCCCCAACACCATGCGTGCTCGATCAGAGGCCACGGTGACCGGGAGTTGAGTTGGTGACCGAGTGGCGCCCGGGGGTCCCCTGGTGGGGCCGGGTGGGGGGCACGTACCTGCTGGCTGGGGAACTGGCACAGCACCGAGGTGATGTTGCTGGCATACTGAGCCATCACCCTGCGGACCGACTTCTCCACGGGGGCGGGGATGCGGCCCGACACGCTGGTCATGATCTCCTGCAGCTCCAGCAGCGGCAGGGACGGGTGCCGCAGGGTCGTCATGAGTTTCTGCACCCACTCCTTCAGCTGAAGCGGGGACCACGGCGTCAGCCTGAGGCCCTGCGGGTCCTTGGGCAACACCACCCTCCACGAGGCAGCCGACACGCACCACCCAGGTCCTGTACTCGAGGAGCCCAAGAGCTAGACGCAGCAGCCTCTAGAACAGTCCCGAGCGGAACGGCCCCCTGACCACAAGGGGAATACTCGGTTTCCCTGCACTCCCCTCTCCATGCAGCCGCCAGCCTGGCGTGAGGATATTGCACAAGGCCACACGAAGAGCTCACATCCGAGGACGCTTGCTCAGCGCCAGGCACCGCGCTGAAACTTTTATCTGTACCTTCCCACCGGATCCTCAGAAATAACCCTACAAAGTAGGGATAACCATTATTCCCATTTTATAGTTGAGAAACCTGAAACAGAGAGGCTGACTGAGTTATCCAAAGCCACCCAGCTAGTGAGAAGCAAACTGGGGCCATCAAGCTCCCAAGATGCTTAACAGCGACACGAGGCTGCTTCCAGGGGTCCCAGCAGCCGAAATGTTGACAGTCTCTGAGTGAGAAGGGTAAGAGTGCTGCCACCACAGGGGTTGGGCGGTTTAAAACTGAAAGAACGCACACGCTGGCAAGTGCAAAGGCTAAAGAAGTGTGGCCGTCGTGGCGATCACGATTAGACAACACAGCACGGGAGTTAAGAGCACAGACCCTGAAGACAGATGGCCCGTGTTCAAATCCAACCTGATCTTTTTCATGGATGAAACGGGACAAGTTTCTTAGCCTCTCCGTGTCCCAGTTTCCTTACCTGTAAGGTGGAAATAATATCATACTGGCCATAAATACCACTGCACAGTCACCACCACTAAGAGATAGAAGGTGTTATTACTAGTGATGATGAATTTAGCATCGTGGGTCTTGCGCAGAAGCCTGCAAGTGTGAAAACTCATTTCTCTACAGAGTAAGTAGGCCAACGGGCCCCTGGAACGATGAACAACGAACAGAGCGTGTCTCTGACCAAAGCGCCTTCCTTGCTCTCTAAGAGGGAACCCACGTGGACTCCTTTCCTCACGCACAGCTTGAACACTCTCCGGGATGCAACGAACTGAACCACAAAAAAGCAATACAGCTTTTGCAACAGTATGGAAGCAAAGAGAAACGTACACCTGTGTTTACAATCGAAGTGAGGAAGTTCCTGAGACGAGATCCTTTGTAAAAACGGAGGACTAGCCGTTTTTCCATTCCCTACTTCGGTAAAGACCTCGGATCTGATGGTTTAAGCCCTCGTGGCTCTTCACAGACCTGCACACGCGTGCAGACTACATACCTATCCTTCGCACATGACCTACCTTTGTGCTAAAAATAGGCTCTGGCAGGCAGTAGCCATTCATGACGTTGGTCAGGTTTTCCAGGACGTTGTGGAAAACCTGGTGTAGTTTCTCTCCAATGATGGGCAGAGTTTGCTGGGAAGGGAGCTCTCCTGTGAATGGCTCGGCCTGATGAGACACAGCAAGAACCAGAGGTCAAGGACACCTGCCTCCTGAGGGAGACAAGATAAAAACGAGGGGTGAGGCAGATCTACCAATACGCAATATAATTAGGATGAAGCCTGAGGGAAAAACAACGAAAAAACCCAGAAGACATCGTACTGGAAAGTCACAATTGCTACATTCACACCCCGATGCTGGCTTCCCAAATCTCCCCCATCGCAAATGCCGTGTTGTCAGGTGCCCCCGGTGATTCTGGAGGAGATTAGGTTCTTTTGTTTCACTTTGCTTTCTAATCACAGCTATCTATTTTCCCTATTTATTTTCAGTCTTTATCCAATCCCAGACATAAACACCTAGCCGGATGAAAACTGAACGAAACTCTCATGCCAATGTCCCAGCTGTTTGTAAATCACAAACATTTAGCCTTGGAGAACCAAAAAACAAAAAGCTCCCCCCAAGGGTTCACCCTGACCTCACACGCCCATTCATTTAGTCATTCAGTCTACAAATGTCCACTGAATGCCTACTTCGTGCAGCCCCGGGGCCCAGGAGGTTTGGGACGTGCTGTTCTGCTGGCCTGGAACCCTCAGCTTCCTGCCCCTTCCGCTGCCCCACCCCTGTGGGCTCCTCTTGTCCTTTGAGATTAACCAGAGGGTTTCTTCTGCATAGTCTGGGGCTGGTTCTCCAGCTGGGCCCCCACAGCGGGGGCCAAGGGCAGTCCCTCTTCCTGCACTTACGGAGCTGAGAGACACTAATATAAGACGGTAAGAGGAAC